TGGGAGCAAAGTCAGAACTACAAGGCTGCATTGTGAACTTGACCCTTGATGGCCAGCCTGCAGAGGCAGGGAAGAAGAGATGGGAAGGGAGGAGAGGGTAAGAAGAAAGGAAGAGAGAAAGGAGAGGGATTTTTATGTGCTTGTGTGAATTTTGTTTTTCTTACTGTTGTTTTCTATTTTCATTGCACTATTATCTAATAAGAAACAAATTCTTTCAACTTTTTAGTGTTTGTAGCCTCCACTGTGGTCTTTTTAGAGATTTCATGGACTCCTGAGAAAAGCGTGTATTCTGCTTCTGTTGCACGAACTATTCTGTATTATCTGTTAAGTTCATCTGACTCGTGGTGTGCTGTAACACTGAGTCTTCTTTGTTGATACTCATCTTAGATGATCTATCCAGGGATGGGGAGTGGGTTATTGAAATCATTCAACACTGTATCATCATCTATGACTTTTTTGTTTTATGAAATTAGGGGACCCCCTGTTTTGTCATATATTTATGCTTATAATATCTTCTTGATTAATAATTCCACATTACACATTATTAATCTTTATCTCTTCTAATTTTGATTGGAAATATGCTTTATCATATCAGAATAGCCATACCAGCTTTTGATTTTCATTTGCATGTTAAATTGACTTCAGCTCTTTGATTCTCGGTCTGTGGGTGTCTTTACCATTGAGGTATGTTTCTTAGAGACAAGAGAAGTTTTGGTATATATATTTTATCTAGTCATCCAGTCTGTATCTCTTTATTAGGTTAGTTGAAGCCATTTACATTTCAGGTTATTATTAGGAGATATTTGCTAATCCCTCTACCACTTTTGTTAGTTGTTAGTCTAGCTGGTTATTGTTGGTTCTCCCTTGTTTACCGATTTCTCTCCTGAGTTTATTCTTTCCTGTGGTTTCTTGCCCCTCTGCACATAACATTCCTTTTAAGTCTCCTCTGTGGTTTTGGCTTAAAGATCAGAACTGCTTTGGTTTGTGTTTGCCTTGAGATGTACTTACTTCTCTTGGCAACCTTAAAACAGCTCTAGATATATCAACCAGCAATTCTTTACTTTCAGGGATTGAAATATATCATCCATGCTCTCTTGGCTTGTAGGGTTGCTGGAGAGGTCTGATGTTAGTCTGATGTTCCTGCCTATGTAGGTGAGTTCTTATTTTTCCCATACAGCTTTTAATTGTTTCTTTTCCTTGTGTTTGCTGTAAAATGTCCTGGAGTTCTTCTCTGGTCATGCCTGTTTTGAGTTTTTAATGCCTGTGTTATTGCATGTCTGTCTCTTTCTCTAGATTTGGGACAATTTGTTTCTTTGAATACCCATACCCCAAGCCTTTAGTGTTTATCTCAATGCTTTTTTGTTGTTGTTGTTGTTTTCTATTCTGGGGATTCTTGATTGTGTCCCAAAGTTCTTAGCCATTACCATTCTTGTTAATTTTTTTTCTGTTTATGTTTGAATGTAGTGTTTTGTCAACCTTGTTCTGTATCTTTTTTTTTTTCCTTTTTGGCTTGGGTGAGTTTATTGGTGAAGATTTCTATTGTGTTTTTTACTTGATTCCTTGGATTTTGTACTTTCATCATTTGTAGGTTTTTTTCTCTCCAAATCTCAGCTTTCTTGATGAAGTTTTCTTCTATGTTGACTTTTTTCTTTCTTTCTTTCTTTCTTTCTCTTTCTTTCCTTCTTTCCTCCTTCCTTCCTTTTTAAAAAACATATACTCCTATTTTCTTGTCCACTTTGCTGACTTCTCCCCCTGTTGCTTTCTTTTCCAGGTTTTGGAATGAATTATCTTGTGTTCTCTCTTACCAAAAACAAAACAAAACAAAAAAACCAAAAAAACCTCAATCTTCATCTGGCATTTTATCAGTTTCCAAACCTTTGAGTTCAGCAGTTGCTAAATTATAGTCTTCTGTGGAATCATGCAGCCTTTTCATGGTTTTGCAGCTGTGCCTTTTTATGTTTTTTTTCTTATTTTTGTGTGTGTTTTTTCTTTGTTACAGTGTGCACATCCTGTTGGTTTGGATATCACTTGCATTGTAGGGGTGTTATTTTATCCAGCAACCTATTCTTGAGAGCTCAATTCCCAGCACCACACAGAAAAATAAAACTGTTGTAACAGTAGAAACAACATACCATATATGATATGGAAATACTCTTAACATTAATGACAGCTCACCAATATATCACCAAGTAGACCATATATAAGCTAGTTGTGGTATGCAGCTTTTAATCCCAGCACTTGGGAGGCAGAGGCAGGTGGATCTCTGTGAGTTTGACGCTAGTCTGGTCTACAGAGTGAGTTCCAGGACTGTCAGGGTTATGAAGAGAGACCCTGTCTAAGAAAACACACACACACACACACACACACACACACACACACGATCATGAAGCTGAAAGTAGCAAAAACCATGGTAGACAGTGCTATAGGTTTAATGCTACCGAGTGTGTAAGTAGTAATGAAGTGGAGGAGAGAGACAGGCAGAGGATAGAGCCAGAGGCAGCAAGATCAAATAAAAGGGCAAGAAGATGAGAGTGGAGGGAAATTGTTGTTAAAGACTAAAGGGCAAGATTAAGGATTTCTTAATAATGCATAAGTTCAAAACAGATTTAGATAAGAGCAAGGGGAGTGAACACTATGAATATTTAAGGCTGTCAAGATCGCTCAGTGGGGAAAGACGTTTGCGTCCAACCCCGATGACCTGACTTTCACCCCAAGAACCAACATGGGATGAACAGACTGCTTCAAACTGTTGTGACCTCCACATGTGTGCCATGTGTGAATGAGAACATGTGCTCGTAAATATAATATGTAAATTTTATAACTTAAAAACACGAAAAATAATATAAAGTAAAAATACTATTAAATACAGAGCGGGGAAGGGAGGAACTAGAACAAAACCAGATATAAGGAAACCAAATAGTGTTCAGTAATTGAAAGATGCAGAAAAATGATCTTTTAATCATAAAGTAAATATCTCTTCATTTAATAAAAATATTTATTTTATCATAAAATAAAAATAGGTAAGTGTGTGAAGGGGAATAATCAAAACATTTAAAGAATACAGTACAAATAAAAGCCCTGCTATCATGAACCATAGAAGGAAGCATGGCCAGTAAGACAGGTAAAGAGCCTGCTGTCCAGCCTGAGGCCCAGAACCCACGTGATGCAAGGAGAGACCGCATTCCCGCAAGCTGTCTTGTGGCTCACTTTTACATAGGTGCTGAGGTCCATGTACCCTCCCTCACACAAGTAAATAAAATATATAGTTTTTGACTGATAAAAGAAATCCCAAAGGTGAAGAAAAGGTGTGGTGTTGGAGCATGTTTCTGGGCCGTTGGAAACCGGAGACAGCCATGTCTTAAATGCATGGAGTAGGGGGCTGTTGCCTTGTGGACTTGTTTCCGTTGCCGAGTCTGTATGGTCCAAGTGTATGGCGTCTGACAGAGCTGACTTTTTCTTGTCAGTCTTCCTTTACTTGCCAGGAGTCTCTGGCGTCTCTACTTAGCTTTGCAGTGAGCAACAGTGCTGAGGTTGGCACAGGGTAAGCCTGTCTTTCTACATTCAAAATCTCCTGTTCATCACCTGCTGGAGGTTTGCAGCTGGTCGTATCAACTACACCTCTGGAACTTCAGAGTTCTCCAACTTTCTAGCAGCGAAGGGAAGAATTTAATTCATTTACTGGCCTCATATTCAGAACTATTCATTCCAAGGTTATTCTCAATCCAAGATATCTGTTTCAAGCCACCCAGGGAGAGGGGATCTCTTTCTGTATACATTGTAGCATGAGCCAAGCCTCATGTGGCCACCCCCCTTTGGCCTGTCAGTGTCTATCCATCCTGCTGTTTTCAGCCGCTTCTCTGGGTCTTCCCTCATCCAGGGCCTATGTCAGGCCAAACTGAGGTTCGCTGACCTGCCGCTGTTCCTCGGGGTAGCTCAGTATTTAGCAATAGATCCTATCTCAGTGTAGTGTGACAGAATGATTTTTCTCTGCCACTGATCTGACTGCTCACGGAATCGCTAGCTCATTAAAGCCTGGGATTGGCGGACTGAGGGCCCAGCCTGAGGGTAGGATTGCCAGTCTTTCTCCTGCTTACCTTTTGAAAATAATTTCTGGGTCCCTCGCCGGCCAGTCAGGGAACTGAGGAGCTGAGGCTATGTTCAGCTTACTTCTCTGTGATGCTTCTCCCCCCTCCCTCTCTTGACGTCCTTTGTGGATTTCTGGTGTGTTTCTGTCTACAGTAATGTCGATTTTCCCTTATGCTGGCTGTCTCTTTTACCTGCTCATATAGAGGCAGCCTGTACTACCATTTTACCAAGAAGACCCCAAGAGATATGTTTTAAAGAAAGTTTATGGTTTGAGTTAATTTGGGGGAAAAATCTACAATTACATTTACTTTGAAATTTTCACATTAATAACTAAAAATAACTGTAGCAAATGTGTATTGAAATAACTGTGAAAGTCCAGAAATTCACTTTTCTGGTTTATTTACAAAAGTAACCTCAGAAACCCCTCTTCACTTTGCTCAGTCATGGGTTTTAGAGCTGTCTGGTCCCAAGAGAGCAAGAGGCTTGTCCTGTCTTGTCTTCTTTTTATGGGTAAAGCCTCTGAGGCTTGGATGAGGTCACCTGTGACTTGGTTCTCAGAGCCACAACATAGCATCATGCTTCATGCCTCATCCCTGTCCCCTGCTCTCTCCACTCTGAGGTCCCATTTGAATCCTTGTCGCCTGCCTAAATAACTCTATTACATCCAAGACTTCAGTTAGCTACTGTTCCCTACTGAAGTTTAGCCTTCCCAGATATATTAATACACATTGGGCTTCACTCCGCCGTCTCCTTTAAGTTCCTGATAAGTTCTTTTCTGTTTTGCATGGGAAATGGTGTGAGGGGGTGTGAAAACTGGTGTGAACACAGAACAAGCTTGAGCTTCCCTGAGCCTATCCCCTTGTTGGTCACTGTTGTTCTGAGAATGTCCTCAGGCCTCTTCTTTTTCCTTCCAGATCATGTGTACCCCACGGGGCAGGGATAGGTTTACCACCCCATCCTTCATCCAGCGGGATCCGTTCAGTCGTTTCCAGCCCACCTACCCCTACGTGCAGCACGAGATTGACTTGCCTCCTACCATCTCCCTGTCAGACGGGGAAGAGCCGCCTCCTTACCAGGGACCCTGCACCCTACAGCTCCGGGACCCAGAGCAGCAGATGGAACTCAACCGAGAGTCCGTGAGGGCCCCACCCAACCGAACCGTGTTTGACAGTGACTTGATAGACATTTCTATGTACAACGGGGGACCATGCCCACCAAGCAGCCACTCGGGCATCAGTGCAGCTACCTGTAGCAGTAACGGGAGGATGGAGGGGCCACCCCCTACCTACAGCGAGGTGATGGGCCACTACCCAGGCACCTCGTTCTTCCACCACCAGCATAGCAACGCACACAGGGGCAGCAGACCACAGTTTCAGCCGAACAACTCAGAGGGCACAATAGTACCCATCAAGGGCAAAGACAGGAAGCCTGGGAACCTGGTCTGAGTCCCTTCAGAGCGCACTTTGCTAGGAGAGAGAAACCTCGGCAGGGAGAGAGAGGCCCGCTGGCCCCCCTGCCACAGTGTTGTCCGGCTTTACGTCGTACAGCTGAGTAAAACCAAATGTGCAAACACGGTCTTCGTTTCTGATTCCTATCCTGGGAATTGCATGCAAACAAGACTGAAACAATACAAACTTGCATCCGGTTTGACTACAAACAGTGTTCATCTTGGGGGCAGGGGTGGAGACGGGGCTAGAGATGGTATGAGCTTGGCAAAGGGCGTACCAAGGAACCCGAGGAGGTTTGGAAGACTTCATGAAAGTAAGACCCATAAAGGTATTTTTGACCTATTTAATTCCAAAAGGAGACTGCAGATAAATGAGGCCAGAATGGCCTGTTTTTTATAATTAACTGAATAAAGAAGGAAGAATTATTATATATTATCACGGGGAAGAATCAGTCAGTTTGCTTTTTCTCCAAAGGTGTGAAACTTTTATTTTGTTTTAAAAATATGAGTCAAAACTCCTGTTTTGTGTGCCAAGGTATAAAGTGGATAGAGGAGCGAGAGGAAATAATTTCTGTTGATGGTATGCTTTAAGAGTTGCACTATCGTAATGTTTAAAATATGGACGAGGGAACCTATGTTGTGTGAAGGTCTGTATGTTGTCTTGTCACTTATGGGTGGCTATTATACCCAAGGAACATCCTTGAGAGTCCTACAGAGTCGTACGAGAAAGGGTTTGGGGAATGTGCCCTGGTGTTTACTGAGTTCCACGCATTTAACAAGGGGCATGCTGCAAGGATCTGCAGCCAGCAGTGCACTACTGCAGTTATTTGGAGTGGCAGGTGGAAACACCTGCACTGCGCATCAAGTGTCATACAGAGCTAGCCTTATTCCCAGCAGCGTCAGCAATTTAGACTGTTTTCACTGTAGCATGAAATATATTCAGATACATACCTTATTTTATGCAATAAATTGTTAAAAATGCAAGATGGTTATTTTGTGTACTGCTGAACTATGTGGCCTCTCCCATCCTAGGCAGCTCTGTTGAGTTCTGCAAGGGATTTTCTGTTCAGCACCTGGCACCAGCAGTCGCCCCCAAGCCCACTTGGTTGTCTAAATGCCATACTGGTGATGGTTCCTTATGCTTACTATGCCTCTGGGCCTGACACAGGGACAGATTTGGCATAATAAGCCATTGCATATCACCAGTGTTGCATGGCAGAGGAATGGGTGCTGGTGCAGACTCACCTCTGTGCAGCCAGTCTTTGTGCTGTGGTCGGTTAGTAAACAGGTGGTGGGTGAGGACGAGGCATGGCAGGTAGAATTACAGCTGGAAAATGAAGTCAGTTTACTGTTTCTAATATTTCTAAACATTCTTGTGCACAATAAAGGACCCCAGCGACTTTCTTCTGCAGATGTAAGAGCTGTTCCTGTAACGGCACCACGGTGGGCTCATATGCAGCGGCAGGCTTCTTTCCGGTGGTCTGACCTCTGCACGGAACAGGAATGCAGATTCAGAGACAGGTTGACACCAAATAAGTGTGTGTGACTGTATGTGTGCCTGTTATTATTTTCAGAGGTGATTATGGGAAGTAACTAGAGATTGTTTGAGGCCCCCAGTCCTGTCTGACCCCAGGCGGCTCATTTCTGCTGATCTCGGTAGGTAGGCCCCTGGGTTGGTCTGAGACTTGTAATCTCTGTGGGATTTACCCATTTCACACAGTAGCATCCAAAGGAATACTCACAGTCAAAAGGAGAGAGGACAGATAGGCAACAGTTGTCAGTTCATGCTTGAACACTGCTTGGAAGGATGTACACATGAAGGACTCTGGGACTCTGGAGTTGCTTTTCTGTCTTGTCTGGTGACATTCAGTGGCCTCTCAGGCTACAGGTTAACTGGGCCAAAGATGACCTTTCCCACTTGCTTGAAGTTTCTGGCTACTGGTGACTGATGCCTTCAGACTGTGCTTGAATGGGGCCCTGAGATTCGATGGCAGAGGAAGAAGTAGGTGTCCTTGCTGGGATCTCACTGGTAGAGGACTTGGCATGGATGGCAGCCAGGGGAAGGCGAGGTTATGGCTCTGCCATTCCAAATCCTAACTGTAGTTTTGGTGAAGCTGGCAATCCCACCCTTTGGTTTCAGCTCCAAATAGCTTCTCAATCCTTATTTAGTCTTACTTTTCTGCCAACCGTGAGAAAGCGCTAAGATCAGAGACTTGTAAATTCCTCTGGAGCTTGGCAAGCATATGGAGGTTTTGTAGATGCCAGCAGAGCTGACGAAACACTGGGTACCCTAGAGGACTGCCTTTAGTGTACACACATACACACCACCTGTGACTTTGAAGTCTTTGAGGCTGGGCCTTTTTAAGGAATTAGTTTAAAAGTCAAAGCTAAGGCCATAAAAATGAACAAGGACATTTCTCTCAGCCCAGGGAGATTTAGACAGTAGCCTTCTGGTTTACAGCTCATGCCATGCTGTCTCCTGGCTCTTAGGTGAGAACAAAGTAACAACTGTGAAGACACAGCTCAGAGTGGGGGCTGTTGTCTTTCAAAAAACCGAGAACCCGAGGGTTCAGTTTAGAAAGCAGTGAGTTTTGGCAATTGACAATAGGTTATAATGATTATTCCCATGAGGCACTGAAGGAAATGTTTGCATGGTTAGAAGGAGCAGTCCTGGGCACGCTGCTCTGACTTATCTGTTGGCTCGTGGATTTCCAGGGATATGAAACACAAGACCTACAAACCCATCTACTGGAACTCATTCTTTTAGCCTGCATTTGCTTTTTCAGAAACTCTATAAACACTGAAACAATATTTAATATGAGAGATTGTGAAGCCGACTCATCCAATTGTTTACTGCCCTCTCCCATGCCTACTCCACCAGACACACACCTAGCTCACGAGAGATCACAGCATGGCAGTGACTAAAACTTACAGGTACACTGCGAGAATTACACTTTTCCTTAGTAATTTTTAGCTCTAACTCAAGAGCCAAGGATGAGGAGCCAAACTGGGATGGATGCCTCTTCACACAGACATGGGAATTGGGTACAAAAGGAGTATTGTTAATATTTTGAAATTCTAAGTAGCTCCATTTGCTCTTCATCTTTATTGGGATCAAAAGGAAGTACGTTCAGAAAGCTGCCTTGATCTAGAAGAATCTATTCATCTACCTGCCTTTCGCCCAGGTGGTTTTACATCTCTTATCCAACTACTCCTTTCTAGAAAGACTCCTAGAGTAAGCCTTTTAGATGGCTTCAAGCATCTACCGAGGAAGTCCATGTGGTCTCTCTAGGTCCTGCCGACACTGCTGGAGATAGAGCGTGGCCATTCCTGGATTCCAGTTGGGCTTTGGAGACACAATGCTGTGAATGTGCTTGCAGAGTTTGCTCAGAATGGCAACTCTATACCTCTGAAAAATCTCAGCAGTCGGGATGAGCAGAACAAAGAATACTTGCTTTCTGTTACCGTTTTGTTTTTCTCCCATGCCAGTCACCCATCCAGACTTGCTTGCACCCTAAAATCCCATGCAGCTTCATGGTTTCTTTAGATTGTACCGATTCCAACAAACCATGTTGTGTGGCTGCCAGGAGCTGTTCAGAGTCCTTGGAGATGTGGACAAATCACGATAGCATTCTCAGTCTCCCATAGTCATAGGTTTTAGGAATAAAGATGTCATTTGATAGCTTGCTCTGCCAGCTGGATGTAGCACAAGGTTAGTATCAGAGCACAGGGACATCTTGCTGAGCAAGGAACTTCTTCCCATACCCATCTCTGTCCCTAGGTGGGCTGGAGACAGTGTAACATGTCAAGGTTAGGCTGGACAGTGATGCAGCTGCTCACACCCTATGGGGCCCTAGCTCTCCACGTCCATCTGTAAGCAGCTGAGGTGCCTTGTGTTCTGCTATCAGATGTAGGACCCCTGCCCCAGTGTGCAATGCTCACCTTTGCTGTGCCTCTCTTGAAATGGTGCTTCTTCAACTGTTTGCTTTCATTTGTAAGGTGCTGTATATACGTTGAACATATGCACATACTTTACCCAATGGGTAGAACAAGAAACTAATACTGTAATATATTGTATAGATACCAGTTTTACCAGAAATGGCATAATACTTAAGAATGCCTATGTACTCCATCTTTTGTAAGGAAATGATTATGCAAATGATTACATAAAGATAAAGTCTATGTAGTTTATTTTCCTATGAAATATATTAACACCATGGGATGGAGTCTGGACAGCAGGCAGCAGTTTATGACCAGCACATACACGGGAACTGAATTGTACCTTTGCTCTGAAACTTTAGCAGTCTCTAAAATGTTTTTAATCCCTTTAGAAATGGACCAGTTTGGTTCTTTTAGTCAGGGGGAAAGCTGTATTTCCACTTGCTCTCTGTGCAGGCCTTCTCTCTCACTGCAGTACCAGCTGCCAGGCCTTACTGGGATGTGCAAACCTTTGAAGAAGACACACATGGTGTCAAAAAATGAGTAACCTGCAGCCGGAGGCAATTTAGCCTCAGAGCACTTGTGACCCTTTGTGTCCCATGTTTCTCTGTGCCTTGTCTTGTAAATGGAAGCAATGAAGCCAATGGACTGTCTGGAATTTGTAGGGAGAGAGTGGCTCAGAAAACAGACCCATCAGGAAAGATGATTAGGGTAGGGGAAATGTTTTGGGTTGTCTCTAGAGAATTGCCAATCAGCTGAGAGCAGACAGACTTGTAAGTGCATTCCTATTGTATTCTGTGGTAGTCCTGATCCCTCAGTTACGTTATATGTTAGACTGCACGTAAAGTCACACTTCTCCCTTTCAGCTCCAGTTTAGTCTTTAGCATCCAATTGTGGCTTTGGCATTCTTAAGTTTCTTCCTTTGTCCCCCCGCCCCCCCCATCCCCTCTCAAGTAAAAAAGCCTTGGTGTCCATTAAAGCCAGCATGGGTATATGAAGTGTTAACAGTGATCGTGGAATGCTGCCGTCCAGTCTAATCCAGTGTGTCACTAATGATGTCTGGGGAATTCCGGGCTTTTTACTTTTTCTGTGGTATGAGCTCTGACTTTGAAAGTCAGAGACAGAATTATCCCCAATCAGGAAAAAAAAAATGCTCTAAGCTATTACTACTTATTCTGAATGTGCAACTCTTAGTGCCAATTCGGTCCTTTTTAACAGCTCCCTGCAAGAGCTGGGTAAAAATGTCAATAGATCCCTCCTAAGTCCCATTCAAGTCCAAGTCAGTGTCTCTGTCTATTGCAGGGTACACCCTCAGGATCCCTGGGGTCAAGACCCAAGGCTCCATCACTGTAAGAAAATGAGCACTCTACTGAGCATGGGAATGTTCTAGACTCAGTAGTAAGATGCATGACCAACTCGGTTCTGCAGACCCGGCCTGGCTGAGGATCCCTTTCAATGATGCTGCTTCTATCAGATGCACTTGCCTTTCAAAAATCTCAATTCCAATTAATATCCTTGTTGAGTTTAAAATATATACACTATCCACAACACTTAGTTCACTTAATTTTTATTATAAAGTAAAATCTACTAAAAAAGTGCAACTGTATTTGCATCTTCCAATCTTTGTGAGCTATGATAATCAGAAGTCAAAGTCCTTTTGTGTTTAAACAACCATGTGCTTACTCTTTAACGTAACTTCTGGTTATATAAGGGAAATGGTTCGCAACTGTCATCCGCCTGCATCTTTTGCTCAGGTGGGGATACAGTCTAGACCTCAGGTCTCTAACTGCAATACTTTTGATGAAAGACGTTGCACAAGTGCTGTTTGTTAGCGATGAAATCAGGTTTCTGCTTGTTCCTAATGCCATGATCAAATCATAGCACAAACTCATTAAAAATAATCAGTGACAAATATCTGTTCCCTGGGGTTTTGTTTGTTCACCTTTCAGCTACGACATACAGATAGACAACTGATGTATGATCAGTCTCAGAAAAATACTTTCTTTTTTGTGGAGCTGGAGATGGGACCCAGGAAACAGTTCTTCTTTGGGCTATACCCCAGCCCAAAGGATACTGCTGATCATTCTCTAGTTACTGACTCAAGAAAAACATTTGTGTGCGCACACACACATGTACGCATGTGCCACAGCTGGTGTGTGGTGAGGACAACCTGTTCGAGTCAGTGCTCTCTGTCACCAGGTAAGTTCCCAGAATGCAGTTAAACTGCCAAGCTTGGCAGTGAACATTTTAAATCCCCAGCTCACTGGTTGGTGGCTGACTTTTTAAAAGGATTTCCTAGGGTTCTATAAACCTGAGTAGATGACATCACAGAATTCTCCATTCTGAGTTCTAACATGGGACATTCAGAATTGGTTCCTGAGAACTTCTAACCCCACAGGGGCTTTGGATGGCGGTCACACAAAGCCAGTCACAACAAGCTAAGTAGGTCTGAAAACAAATACTCAATCCCTGACATTGGAGGCCTTCAGCTGTTATATGACCTACACAGAGAGGAGCGCATTTTATCTGTGCTAAGTAAGTATATAGACTCTAGATGACACATGTATGCATAAACACCACATAACCTACCAGACAGTGAGGATAAGTGAATTTAGCATGATAATAGATTTATTTTTTCCATTTCTGAAAATTTGCAATAAACAAATAGAAACAATTTCAAAGTTTTACTGGAATAATTGCGTGGGCCCAAATTCTAGTCCACTTCAGATTCAGAGTGAAGTTTTTTTTTTGATGAGGGGACTCTTATTCTTAGTCACTAGCAGACCACACTGTGCTCTCAGAGAATTCCCAGTTCAGCAGCTCAGTAGAGGCTGTCCCCAGAGCTCCCAAACCTAACAGCAAGCAGTGTGAGCAAAGGAAGAGAGGTGCCAGGCTCTCCTGCCCCTCTGCCACTGGTACTGACCACCTCAGTACTAGCAGATTTGAGTTCCTCTCAAAGTCCAGCCCAGGTTCTCAAGAGTTGCTTCAGGAGAAGCAGGAGGACATCAAGAGGCATTGCTAAGCAACAGCAGGAAGGTTGAACCCTTGAAGAGCATGAGGCTGGGACTCCAGTTTACAATGGAAGAGTGCCTCGTGGGACTACCTTCTGCCCAAGTCCCCTGGCTGAGGACCTAACAAGCTTTGAAGGCTTCTGGTAAGGCCTGATGCAGAAAACAAGGACTTTTCAGACAGCAGCTCACCCTGGGCCTTCTGAGTGAACATGCTACTTAAAACAGGTTAGATTTCCCTCACTTTACTGTTTTGATCTGTTTGGCTTACACAGATTCTAATTAAAATGTTTCTGTAAACATTTGCTACATATGGTAAAGAGCAGCTCAGACCTTGGGCCCAGCAGCCTTCAGACGGTTCGAGAGCTCACCTCTGGTAATTAATGTCCCTGGCTGGAGGTAGTTCCAAACTCCTATCTATAGAGCACGTGCAATTGTTTCAGCCAAGCAGAGCTAAGGCAGAGACAGCAGCCCACCACACCCTTAAGTGTCCACATGAAGTGGCAGCTGCTAGCCAAAGAGGTCCTATTGTTCTTGCTGTCCACTTGAAGATATGGGCACATTAACCACACACTGTCTTCTCCATGCAGGTCCTGTGGAGGCTGTCCCTGCACACAAGGCACACATCTGCCAAGGCAGTGAAGAACACACAAGCTTTGCTGCACAGTTGTGTGGAAGTACCTGGAGTTTTGTTTTCATTTTATGGTACTGAGACTACTACATAGGAAATCTTCCCTCTGGCCAAATGAATCGTGAGCTTTAACCTTCCTTTTCAAGGGACTCAGAGGGCAAGCACTCAATTTTGCTGAAACCTAGTATTTCCTAAGGATATCTTAAACTCCACTGCACCAAAATTTTCCATAAATACAAGTTTCTGATGGCTTCAGATCTTCTAGAAACTGGCAACAATTAAATGGAAAAATTAGTCTCAGCGGCTTTCAAATATGGCACTTTCTAATACTATACATGGATGGGAGGAAGGAAAAGGAGACAATCTGAGAATTTCTTGAGGCCAAGTGGTCCCTGATATATGAAATATTTAACATTACTATTTATACTTAATATATAAAATCTAGACTTGATTAAGGTTTTTCTTCATTACTTTTAAATGTGGTAATTAGGAAAAGGCAAAAGATATTATATGACCAGAAGAGAAACTAGTTTCAAGTATGGATTTAGTTGTGTGAAAATTGCAACCTGAATGCTTTGCTAAAGCCAACTTCACTAGATGCTGACGGAGGACAGAATGAGACTGGACCTTTAGCTTCCCCACCCCAGCCCATCCAAAACTAAAGGGGAAAAACGAAGGGATAAGGTCACAAAATAGTTTCTATCTCCCTTTCAGATCACTCTAAAAAGAGGATGACCAGAGTAGAGTCTAAAGGAAGTCACGTTACAAGGTTAACAGCCAAAAGCTGAATGGTATCAGAAGAGCCAGGCTATACATTACTGGCAAATGTGATGAACTGGCTTGACTTTTATTTTCCTTTAAGTCCAAGAGCATGGCCTGGCATACTTAAGTACCTGCCACAGGGTAAAGGGACCACATGAGTAATGCCTGGCTAACTTCAGACACACAGGTCTTTGGTTTTTTCTTAACCAAAACATGGCTTCAATGTCCTAACATGACTCATCAGTGTTAAATTCCACAGTTCTCTAAGCCTTGGGTTTGAATTATTATCAGTGGTAAAAACAAAGGTAAAAGCTAACAATCTTAAAAACAAAACAGTGCAATTAGTGAATAGCTTGCTCAAAAAATACCGCATTAGGTCTGTGGACATACTTGACAGTATTTTTTACTTTGGCAGCAATGCATACATGTTTGTTACTGGTCAGAAGAATACAGAGTACACAAGCTCCCATAACCTGACTTTGCTTCACCAAGGAAACAGAATAATGTACTTGTTGCCTGAGGTCTTGGGCAGCAGGGCCCTATAACTACACTGCCACGGCCGAATACCAAGCAGGTAAGGACACCCAGCACCCATGGATGAGAGAAACAGCAACAGTGACAACCTGGATACCACAGTAAGAATCCTGAGGAGGTATGGATTCAAATGAGTAAAAACACGCTTGTCATAAAATCTCCAGTCTAACACTCAGAGGCTCAAACAAGGCAACAGCTAAACTATGTTCATGTATGAACATTGCTGCCCTTCCTAAAATCAAATCCAGGATTAAGAGCTAACATTTAACTAGAAAAGGACGATATAGAATTGCCGTTTTGTGGAGCATCTTTATGGAATTGTCAAAATATGGCAGAAAGCGCCTTTTACTATGTGTATTTCATCTTATTAAAACAAAAAGGATGAAGTTAGGTTTCAATGTTGTTTCTAGAAACTGGTGGGTCCAGTCAACTGCAGCTGGAAGCTTCAAATCCCTGGAAGAACGCTGTGCTGCTGTGCACCCTGAACCAAACTGTGCTCACAGACCTGTTGAGCAGACTTGCACTGGACACACTCCTTGTACGTGTCCTTGCTTCTCATGTCAGTGACTGCTAACATTTAAATTAGTCAAAGTTCAAGACAGAAAAGGTCGCACAAAGGGAGGTGGGTAAATGGGGAAAAGCAAAGTTTCCAGCTAATACACTTTCTAATACACTTTCAGGAAAATCAGGAAGCAGGAAGCATACTTTGGCATGGAGTCATACTTCTCACCACCAAGGTTTGTTCACTGGACTGATTTCCCAGAGAAAACAGCATGATGTACTTCCACTTAGCTCACTGGGTAAGAAGCCATATTCTACACTTGATACCTACTTCCCAACAAGGTCATTCAAGCAAATCCTCACAACAAACCATGGCCCACTCTGCCCTCAAGGGCTCTAAAATTAACGACATTCTTCCTACTAAGAAGATCATTCTTATCAAAATAACCAAATAATTGCCACAGGATAATGAGGATCTGTAATTACTATTAGTGACTATTAGTGATGTATAGGGAAGAATAGACCTTAATTTTCAAAGCTTAATCCTGGAGACACAGGCCAACCACAGACTTGTTTTGACTGGTTAGAATGATCAAAGGTCATAGAAGTCTCAGAGGGAAAAATCAATCCAGCAAGCCTAACTCAGCATTTAACTACGAGAAGCTCAGAGTATAAGAGAAAGTTTCCTTAAAGGGGCCATGAAAGGTCAAATTCTGGGAAAGGAGTGGTCCTTAGACCATTCCAATCATCAGGAAGGACGAGGTCCAGACTTTGCTGTCCTTTGGGTATATGACTTTCTTCTTCCTTCTCTCATGGAACCTCTACTTAATACAAAACTGGTAAACAACATACACATGGGCCAATGGAGACCAAGCACAGTTATTATTTGAAGAATGGATGAGTGACAACGTCCTCACTGCCTTCCCGACACCTCTTCTGCAAATTTCCAATACAGAGACCTACGTATCCCTCAACACATGCTCAAGATGCTTAAAATCCCTACAATTTTGGCCTAGGAACAAGACAGCCTCCCAGTCCTAGCTCACCCCGAGCATAAAGCTCTTCACTCTTTCATCTGTGAATGAGAAGACGGGGGCAGATTTTAAGTGGAAAACTTGGAAATATTTCAAGTCTTAGTTTTATTATTTCACTGTGGGGAGAAGGCTATTCCCAATATACAAACTTTTCCCTTTGGTGAAATCCAAACAGCACCCCATTTCGCACAAAAGGCTCTCAATAATGATGTGATGTTTTAAAAGGCAGGTTTTACTCTTATTCTTTAACAAACCAAGCTTCTTACCTAATTCATTTTCTTTTGAACTTACTAATTTGCTAAGCAAATGTTTTCTGTCTATTAAAAAAAACCTCAGTCACAGCTTCATCTGTGACATCAGCGTACTTTTCAAAAGGATAAATGTGCACACCAGATGTGGAGCTTCCTCGTTTCCCTTGCAGCTAAGAGAAGCCCATGATCTGCTGTAAATAAAATGCAGTTCAGCATATACAAATCTATATTTTACATTTTGATAATTTAAGTTGACAAGTACTGTTGTCTGCTATCAACACATTGCAGGATCCCCTGCAAGTTGGTTGTTGTTTGTTTTAAGGATAATATTAACAACAGCATTTTATGACATCTGATGCCAAATAGTAACAATATAACTTCTCAAATCTTTAGGGACCTTTTCATTGGATTTAAAAGCAGATAACAAGCAGCTCCTTATTTGCTATAATTGGCGAGACACAACCCAGACTTAGAACTGGAGGGTGATGCGACTCTAATGGACTAGGCAGAAGATATCTATCTACTTGGGATAAAAGTTGCAGTCTCATGATTATTAGCAATGTCTTAAGAGCTCTCAAGCTACCTCCACTAGATGATATGCCCTATGCACCGAGACTGGTAAGAGGTCTTAGGAGAAAAACTTCTATATTATCACATTTAGCATGGTATTCTTGGTCGTTTGGGGGAGGGGTGAATGTTAATACATCAGCATTTACTATCTTCCTGTTCAATAAACATGCTAAAGTGTGTTGTCCTGCTTATATGAGAGGGTGCCATCAACTTGTAGCAGTGCACTGAACTCTGCCTCAGATTAATCATGCTGCCAACACACAAAGAACAGAGACCCATGACAAATTCCTCTGTAATTCTCCAACCCAGAAGACTCCGACCATAGCATTTTCAGTGTTTCAATAAAATGACTAGATATCTCAAATGTGAGGTTATCTCCTTATTCTCTAAATTTGGCCAAATTAAGCATTAGACATAAATTCTGTCACAAAGCAGGGGCTGAATGGGACAGCTATGGCAAGGTCTCTGACATTCTTCTGATGGCAAGTCAAAACCAATGCCCTATAGAGGTCATTTCTTGCGCCAGTGTCAACCCAAGGGTTAAATAGACCTAAAGGAAAGCTCAGAGTGCACCCACACACAGACATTCTGCAGACATGGGAGTTGCCTGCCAGCCCGATTCATTACAAGCTAGAAACAGTCAAGCAGACTATTTAAGCAGGAATTCTTCCTTCCAATATGACAAACACTAACCACAATTCTAATGGAACCTATGACAGACCGGCCTCTTTTGTTTTGACCAGGGATATAAGGACCCAAATCCCACAGGGCTGACGTAGTGGAGCGATCTGAGATGAGCCTCCTTGGTGCAATGCTCACCTGCTCTCCACGGACCCACTATAAGCCTCCATTCTCAAGCACGCGCAGCTACCGACTTGTTCCTACCCAATCAGCGGTGGAGTTAAGAAGAGTGAACTTGAGTTGCTGATGTATGTTATTTCAATAATAAAGTTTATATAAAACTTTCATTTTCTTCCAAAGATTGGCTGGAGAAGACAGAAGTGAGTTACAAGAAAGTCTGACAATCCAAGTGTCCAATCACCATGCATAGTTAAGTCTGAAAAAGAATTTGCTTTAAAAATGTGATTTTGACAAGCTCCAGTTAAAAACCATTTTGCAGGGTCCATTTCATCACATAACCAACATATCTTACTAATAAATGTAAGACTGGATTTATACAACCTTTTTGAACTAAGGGCTACATGTTAACTTGTAGGTAACTTCTCCAGTCTCTTACCCAGAGTCTGAATGGTGCTCACCCCACACAGCTGGGCACTTAGTTGCCTTCACACTATAAGTGGACTGACCAGTACACACACTGCAATGTCAGAGACCGTGAAGCAGATTGGATTCTGAGGCTATGGAACAGGAACTCTGACTTTGAGGGCATTAGCTATTGCTTATTACTGTAACTCATATATAAAATTTGTATGCTGAGTTCATTTCATTTTGAAAAACATTGATTTTTCCCCTCCACTGTTATTTAACTTAAAAACAAAAAACCTCTTTGTTCTTTAACCCTCGGAGGATATACACATTTAGGCAAGCAAACAAAAAAAAAGAAAGAAGGACATTCCGAACATGTTCTTTGCCCCCAGTCTCCTAGGGTTAAAGTGTGGGGCTTTCTGTAACATCTTACATAAGGCACTCTTATTCCACTTTTTTCTTAAAAGAGACTTTTTCTTTGGTTTCTTGTAATTTTTCAGTGAGTCTATCCTTTGTCTCCTCCATTTTCTCAGTGATGAGCTCCTTAGTCTCCTCCATTCTGTCCTGCAGATACTCCTTGACAGGTGGTGGGGTTGACATGTACCCCTGACTTCGCAGATACTTCACGGTAAAGGACGTTCCTCCCAAGGTCACAGTATAGCGGGCAGGTGTTGCAATCTTAGGGGAAGAAGGAGGAAACAAAAGCAAACAGGCTGATCAACACCTGATTATGACTGTAAACAAAATTAAGTTGGAACTAAACATTTCAGTAATAATCAGCATACACTTCTGTTAGAGAAGGCGAGTATAATACTCTATATCGTTTGTCTTTCTAACAAGGGCTACTTTTCTGCAGACTTATTTTAAAATGTCTGTCCTCAGACCATATGACTTAAGATTTCAGGGTTATCACAGACAGCTGCACTGAAACCCTAATGAATGCTAATGAGCATGGGGGCAGAAGGAGGGTGTGATTCTAACAGTAATACAGGTGCAGGTTTCTGTGCCCCAAAATCTCTGACATGCACTATCTACCTGAGCTAAAATGCAGCCAAAGTTCAAACAGTGGGAAGCTGAGCAAGAGTCAGATACTTCTTTGCTGGATTCACGTTTGCTCTACTCTCAAATCGTCTCTCTTTAACTCTTTCTGCACGTATGCTACCATCTCACCATAGGGTCCGGAACAGACGTCTCCCAAGGCCACGGCAGCTCTTCTTAGTTTTTGTCCTTATGTTGTGATGAAAACAAAGACTTGAACCAGTGGAAGGGCTTTGCAAAAACAAATGGCCACCTGGTACCGGGAGCTCAAGCAGGCACAGTACACAGCAAACATTCAGAAAGTACCTGCCATTCTTCTCTCAATTGTTCCTCTAATCCCACCAAGTGGCTCTCTTTAGTTCAATGGCCTCTGTGGGACCACACCATTGACCTGATAGCAGCCTGGGCCCACTCTAAAACAGCTCCCTCTCCCTGACTCCCATGCACCTGGTGCCAGGACCACCCCCACGTGGATTTTCTCGGGCACACTGGCCACGTCACTGTAGCTTTTGAACAAGGTCTGTAGACTCTTCACTTTCACACTCCCACGATGGCCTGTCCAGGTTCCTGCTTTTGATGTCATCTATATATTAAGAATTCTTAATTTACATCTCCATACTGAATCCCTTCCCTGAATTCACATATAGCCAACTACCCAAATCATTTGCACCTGAATGTCTGACTTAATATGCACAAACTCACAGGCCTCAACTGTCCCAGTCAGACCTGCTTTTTCCAAAATTTTACTCACTACAGAAAATGGTAACTTGTTCTTCCATTTACTCAGGCCAAAATAAATAGCTCTTACTCAATTTCTTTAACGTAATTTGTATGTGTAGCATTAGGAAAGTCCATTAGTTTCTTTAAAACATACCCACCATCCAATTGCTTCTGACTGCCTCCCCAGGGACCACTTGGGTGCTGACATGAGGACATGCAGCCTAGGCTTCTGTAGCAGACAGCCTCATCCTGATGCCCCAGCTTTTTACCCCGGCTTCAACATGATAGCAGTTGCAGTGATTTGAAGTCACACGTTCAAAGTAACCAATAGTTTCCCTATAACACACAGGCTCCTGATCTGGCAGTCTTTCTGCTTCTCTTGCTCATTCCAGCCACAATGGCTCCTATCTAACTTTCTGGTACCTAGCATCCTGCAGTTCTCAAGGCTCCCTCTGCTGGGAACCCTTGTCTCCCTCTCCTCCCTGCCAACTCCCAGATCAACCTGTTAACTGTTCAGAGCACTTCCCATCTAAATCTGCAATCTAGGAGGACCACGGGTGGGGGCTAGGGGCGTGGTGGTGGGGGTGTGAACAAAAAACACATACCAAAACATCTTCTTATCTGGTTTATTCTTTCTTAAAATATTTATGTGTATCAGTGTTTTGCCTGTACATATGTATGCACACTGCATGTGTGCCTGGTGCCCATAGAGGTCAAAGGACTGAAGTTACAAATGGTTGTGAGCCAAAAACTGAATGCTGGGTTTCAAACTCCTGGTCCTTTGCAAGAATATCAAGTGTTCTTAACTATATTCATTCTTTCTTTTTTCTTTCTTTCTCTTTCTCTTTCTTTCTTTCTTTCTTCTTTTTTGAGACAGATTTCTCTGTTGTAGTACTGGTAGTCCTGAAACTCACTGTGTAGACTAGTCTGGCCTGAACTCACAGCAATCCACCTGCCTCTGCTTCCTGAGTGCTGGGATTCAAGGTGTGCACTACCATCACCCATTGTATATTCTTTCTTCTTAATGATCAGTAACATTTAGTATAATTTAAATATACACACACCATATATGCACACATGTGTATGTACATGCATGCTTGAGTATTTTCAACCCTTCCTTCTCTGTCTCTCCAATTGCCCTTGACCTGCCCACTCTCCTTCCCTAGAATGCGCTCTCCAAGGGAAGTCTTAGCAGTGCTTTGTTTTCTTCCCTCCCTTTCTTTTTTAAAGAAAGGGTTCCAGTCTCAGAGCTTATCAAGCAGACCAGGCTGGCCTTGAACTTTCTCCCAAATGCTGGAACTAAAGGTGTACCTGGTCAGACAGTGTTTTCCTCATCAGTGAATTCCGGAGTAAGCTCTGGACAAATCTGAGCCAACGACAGTGCCTGTTAAAGGAGCTCTGCTGTGTAACCAGCTAGCTGCCCAGCACTAGCATACCTCACTCTGGAGCTTTGCCTTAAGGAAGAAGGCATCTCTGTTGTTCTACTTGAAGTCCTGTGGGTTACAGAAAACTCAGGACATATTCCATTTCTCACCCTACAGAAGGACATGAGGGGGAAAAATCCACAGGGTTTGTAGGTTTCCAAATATGCTAAGCACTAATGCACCTCAAAGTACACCGGAGAGTGCAAAAACACAAAAACAGGCCCCTGAATTCCCGGGGGGTTCATGAGCACATAAAGAAAACTCTTAAATCAGATGCTATAAAGAAAGGAGTCAGAAAAAATGACTTAAACCACCATCATGTACTCTGATATGTTAAATTTAACCTACCACTGCTATAAAACACTGTAAAATAATATGAGAAAAACACAGCAATTAAGCTCTGAGAAAAATTATCTGAGATCTCAGATGATTCTAGTAAAGATAGAAAAAAACATTACTTCCGAATAATACTATGTCACTATGTATTTTTACACAGCATAACACCACTACATAATAGTAATACATAATACTGTAAGTCATTATTCTACATACTTTTACACAGAAGAGTAACACCTACTTTCCCCAAATTTTCATTTTATTTGAATATGGATATCATAGAATCATATTTTTAAATAAAATATGAGATTAATATAGCTGAATTCTATGATTTACAATGAGACTTCCCCTCTATAATAAAGACAGGCATAGAGACTTTCTATAAAAGCAGCACTGTGTACACCCTGAGAAGTTATAGACTCTCTAAAGTGAGAACACCTAAGAACTAAGCCTGGACTGTGTCACACAAAACAGTGTGAATTCAGCCTTCACAATCCCATTTTCTAAAGAAGGGTAAACTATTATAAATAATAAAGCAAATGCTAGATTTCAGTAACAAGTCAGGGCAGGGGGATGCCTGAGCCTGGCAGACTATGGCTTACCTATTTTTTAAGGCACTTCTTCCTAAAGTCATAGTTTTATTTTTGTACCTTCTGCTCATTAGAAATACAAAATGTGAAATAGGATATATATATATATATATATATATATATATATATATATCTTTAATTCAGAGCTCAATGTGAGTTTCCTAGGGAGGGTAAGCAAAGAACCCACCTTAAACATGGCATATGCTGTCAGGGCGTTTCCACTCTGGGAGTTTTTCAGGATGTCTACTACACTGTCAGGTAATCCAATGACCTCTAGGAAAGGGATGACATTCACTCCTCTGAAAAGGAAACATATAATTTAGTCACGTATAAACAACAAGTACAAATTTGCCATAATATATATTCAATTCTATTTGCTCAGGAGACTAAAAGAATAAGACTGTGGGCTCACAAATTGGAGTCCAGCCTGGGCTACATAATGAGCAAATCAAAAAACAACAGTAACAAATCCACACCTACCCAAACTAAACCACCACCACCAAAAATAAACAAACAAAAGTCTAACAGCTGATTCTGTGTGACTGAATGCTTTCATTTCACTCTCTCCAAGTTCAACACACAAGTAGTACTGCCGTCCTGCATCTCACAAGGCCATTAAATTAGTCTTATTTAAAAAGCAGACACTTTATTTATAGTCACAGTAATGGCTTTAAGTAAACCAGGAGAGCAGGGTCAGAACTGTTTACTTGATATTCATTTCCTCACACAAATACCATTTTCTTAGGACACGTCAACTCACAGTTCAGGATCTTATGTTCTTACCTTTAAAACTTCATCACTACCACTTCTGTGCTATCATGCAAAGAATGAGTGATTCTGTGGGCTTGGCAAAATCCAACATTTCTAAAAGTATGTATTCTTGCTTATCAATAAAGAATGTAATTATTTGTATCAGATAAAGAATATTTATAGTAATTATTCTCTATGATAATAAGGTAAGGAATAATTACAGTAAATTGCAACAGATTCTTGGAGGGAGGGAAGGCAAAGAAATTCCAAGCTGTTAAAGCCTTGACTTAGGTAATTTTAGTTTCTTCATTTTATTGTACCACACTGTTCTAATCTTTCCTCTATGTATTTGTATCAGGACAAGGAATCATCTAAACTTGTAATTATCACATTCATAAAATTTAATACACATAGTAGTATATGGTTAATACAAAAAATATATTAACATAAAATCTGTAATTTAAAAATTTGCCTCAGTATACTCGCTGCTTTTTCTCTGTGCAGTCTCCCCCTCCCTAGATGTGGAAACTCTAGAGAGAACCAGAGAGGACTTTTGGGGGTGGGGGGAGGCATAGGGACTTTAAGATGTCCAGGATAGCACCCAATCTGAGAGTGAGCTTGTTTTCTCATGAGGAAATTTAGGTTAAATTCTCCTACAGCAAAGCCTCGCAGATTGAGCTGTGTCTGGTTTTGCATATGACAGTAATACGTAGCATCCCTTTCTTCCCGTGTCCCATCCCTGGCACTTCAAAGTGAACCTTTAACTAAGGCAGGGTGCTCATATTGCTCCATTATAATTGTTTCTTTCCCTTGTCATTAAGTAAGGGAATTGCCTAGACAAAGATAGTTGGATGCCATTAATTTATTTTTAATATAAAAATAATGGGTTAACTGTAATAAGCCCCTGAGAGTACTCTGAGTAGACATTGCTAATCATGACCCAGGAAGACTAGCTAGCATCAAAAATAAAAAATCAGAATGTCAGAAAGAACCATTTTAAAAAGGTAAAATTAAAAATCAACCAGGAGTTCAATACTACCATTTATCTGCATATTCAAGTTTCTTTTAAGACAACAATACAATCCTATTAAAGTAAGCCTCAGTATTAAGACTTGGCCTTTTAATGGCTTAAATTTTTAAAGCAACATCTTATAGCAAGCTAGTTTAATCTTTTAGCACAAAGATGATTATGAAATTATTTCATTACTTCCCAGTTCCAACTAAACCCAGCACATAAAATCTGTGCATTTAACACCAATAATAAGACAAAATTTGGCCAAATAAGAACCCCCCCCCCCCCACCCCGAGACAGGGTTTCTCTGTAGCTTTGGAGCCTGTCCTGGAATTAGCTCTTGTAGACCAGGCTGGCCTCGAACTAACAGAGATCTGCCTGCCTTTGCCTCCCCCACTACCACCCAGCTGAAAACTTTTATCATAAAGATAAGAATCTAAATCAAGCCAGAAAACTCAATGTTTGCCACTTTGTGGTCGGGCAGTAATGTGCGCTTTAACTGTCAGTTTATGATGGTTCATCAAGGCCTAAGAAATGTTCACTATCTAGAGAAAGTACAGTAAACACCAGCAGAGGTGTGGTTGAGAGTGCACCTGTGTGATCAGGAACCCGAGTCTATGGACACACAGTATGGGCAACACAGTTGTTATTGAGCCATAAGTAATTACACGAAATACTTACGTTTAGAGAACAGACCTCTGCTACCTTTTGCCAGACAGTAGCAGTCAGGAAGCTCAATATAAACACACCCATTAGCATAATTTAGCTCTGTCTGAAATACATTTAAGAGAGCTTCAGAACATTGCCACCTAGCTAAATATAGGATACTTTGCTTTCAGACTGTGGGAGTAACTAAGACAAACAGGTCATAAGTACAACATTGATGCCAATGTCCACGCTTCCAGAAACAGTATTTTCTCCCTTTCTCTTACTAGTAGAAAGGCAACCAATAAGGAAAGAGTGTTTTCCAGTTAGAACACTCTTAAAGAAATACAACGTTTCTGTTAGCTGGATGGAAAACCGGAGCTTAATATAACTGACTTCAACCTGATAGTAAACCATTCCCACTGGAACATGTACTAACTCTGTTTTCTTTTGTAGACAAGAATATTTTATAAAGTATTACTTGTGGTTAAGTCATCCACTCAACATATGTGAACTCATTAGGACAGGCTATCATACTGGGCGGTAGGTGGTGGCTCTTAGCCATGAGTCCATGTTGCCTAACAACCCCAGGCCAGCAGGCAGCCTCACCTCTATATTCTGACATAGCATTTTACAGAAGAAGAGAAAGTCAAGATCATGTGTGACAGAATCACCCCTGCTGCTTTAGGTGAACTGAAGAATCTAAAATACAACTATTATCTCCAGAATACTTGGGGTCTGCTTTTTCAATAAAATAATTTGTTTATCATTTGATTGTGTTCTGACAATAAAGCTTGCTTGGAGTTAAAGGGTGGAGCTAGCCATTAGCTGACCAAAATTAACCATAGAAGTTTGAGCGGGCTATAGACAGATTTAGAGACAAGAAGTAGAAAGGCATGGCTGAGAAAGGCTCTTGGCTCTTTTGGATTGAGGAAGGAGAGGGAGGGAGGGAGGGAAAGGGAGAGGGAAAATGAAAGAGAAAGGGAGAGGGGAAGGGAGAGGGAGGGGAAAGAAAGGGGGGAGGTTTCTGGTTGCTTCTCTGCTGCTTCTCTGATCATTTAGGTTCTTAACCCCAGTATCTGACTCCCAAGTTTTTATTGATATGCTATATAATAGGCCAAAAAGCAACCTCATACTCAATTAACTAAGGACATAAGGTTTCCTCATGAGACCAGAAACTGGGAGAAGACATGATCTTTGACAATACTGAACCACAAGAATCCTCAAGTGGCTCAAAAAAGAAAATGCATTATGTCTAAAGCCACATATCTGATGGCAGAATTAAATGGCCCCAAGAACTGAGTAGCTTCTGTCAAAAATAGGGCAATTCTGAGGACTTCTACAAATATTAAACATGTATAGAAAATGTCTTTAACAAAAAATATAATGCAAAGAAACAAAGAAACAGAACAGTATCAATTACATAAAGAAAAACCTGTCCCTCTAGAACTGCAGTGAGAAACACCCAAACCCTTGTTTTCCAGGAAGAGTAGCCCACTTCCCACCACCTTGGGACAGATACTGTAGCTATCTTGGTAGATACTCTAAAGGAAGACACCTGTCTTTCTGTATGCAGCTATCAGACTGTTGAGGCAGACAGAGGTCTCCAAGAACTGGAACCACCTCAGCTGTCATCTGCTAAAGGAAAATGCTAGAGCCTTGGAGGCCAGCCAAAGGGGGAGCTTGCTGACTTTGAAGAACAGATACGAGACAAGACAATGGTGGACAGTGATGGATGAGACCACACTTTGATCAGAATTGATTAGTTATGCCTATCTCTTGTCTTCTGTTTAAACCTAAACCTCACATCAGTAGCACAAAGATGGACTCAGGTTTGTGTTTGTGGCCGGTGGTGACTGGACTCATGCTGGTCACACTGAATAAATCAGTTTTCTCTGCTTTTACCATTAGTTGTCTTTTAAAGTAGATTATTAAAGGGGGCTAAGCCTAGGCCCATAATTTGACCCTAAAAACTCCAGTAATAGTATTTTTCATTCAGCAGGCTCATCAGCTTCTCTGCCAAGGGGTGATCTCCTTATACACAACTGTTATATTTTGTTAATGCCTTAACAGCAAGGCATTAAACACAAATAAGGCATTAAAAAATTAGTGGACTTTGATTAGAAGAGTTAACAAGTGTTAACAAGAGTTAACAAGTTAAGGTCACAGCATGTGGCCCCTGAGGGCAGAACTGCAGGTTTCCCTGCTTTCCAGCAGGGTGATGAATACACCTTACCTTAAAAGGCAGGAACTGTAACCAAAAAAAGATGCACTTGAATACTTTCCATCCAATACCAGAGGGTAGGCCCACCAGTCTCACTTCCCATCAGAACAAAATGACTTAGCATGCTATCAGTCAGAATGCATAATCAGTATCAGCCTGTGATGAATTCATGTTAGCTAGGCTCTGGCAAAAGAGCCTGTGAATTTTCTACCAATACTATACACTCACCCAAACGAGTAGTTTTTCACATGTAGAAACACCATAGAAACATGTAAGTATAGAACTCGTGGTTCGGCTGCATTTCTAAAACCTAGACTTAGGCTGGAAAGATGGCTCAGTGGGTTAAGGTACTCACTGCTAAGTCAGCCTGAGTTCATCCTCTGAGACCCATAAGGTGGGAGAGAAGTGCCAACTGAAAGTTACCTTCTGAACTCCACATGCATACCCACCCACCTATCCAACAACAAATAAATGTAACAAAACAACAAGGACCTTACTTCTGAGTCCTCTTAAACATGCAAAGCTGTCAGCAATGAGACCAGGAGATGGTTCAAAGACCAGAAAACCTATTCAGTTTCGGTGTGGGCTCCACCTCTTATGAGTTGAATTAGCTTATTTCCCCTCACCCAAACTGTTTCCATATTCATACATGGGAAGAACTGTATCACTTACTGTATTTGGTTTTTGGAGGAGTAAATCAAGATGGCAGTTAAAAACTGAGCAAAACACTTGCACCCATAAACAAACATTAGATATTCTCAATAAAATGTGATAATAGCTATAAAAAGTAGTTTTCCTCTGTCAATCAAGGCATGAGACAGAGAAGGGCTGGAAAGAGAGCTCAGTGGTTAACAGAATATGTTGTTCTTGCACAGGACCAGAGTTTGGTTCCCAGCTCCTAAAGAGGGCAGCTCACAACCACCTATAACTCCAGCTCTGGAGGAATTTGATCCTCGGGCCTCTATGGGCACCTGCATTCACATGCACACACCCAACAGACACATATGCGTGTTAGAAACAAAATAAATCTTAAAAAAAGTTAAGGGCCAGTGAGATGGTTTGGTGGGTACAGGTGCCCGCCTGCAATCCTGACATGAACTCGATCGTGGCACACAAGGTGAAGGAGAGAACTGACTCCCACCAGTTGTCCTCTGACCGCCATGTGCTTGACCGCCTCCCGCCCCACGTACAGATAATAAAATAAAAACTAAGGCTTTCAGCATAAACAAGAAGACTAACGTGATAAAAAGTGGGAAGGCAGTCAACTAAGCAAAGACTTACTTTATAGCTGCATAGTAAAATGTTCCAAACCAAATACCAGAAGTTATTAGATGCACAGGAATTAAGACTTTTCCATATTGTCTGAAGGTTTTCTTAAACCGTTGATAAAGACTAATAGACTTGTCTTGTAAAGGATCTGGCTCTTCCTTCTTTTCTGATGGAGTTTCTTGGGATGTGGCGCTGGAAGATAAAACCCTCTTGGCTAAAATATCCTGCTCCCATCGGTCCTGGTGAAGGACTCTCTGCTGAGGTGGCTGAGCATTTAATAGATTCCTTCGCTTTGCAAGGCACTGCACAGCAGGTAAATGTAACCACTGCTTTCGAAGGTGTGGTGTCCAAACTAGTCTGTATTCATCTCTATGCCAAGGTAAGGGTCCTTTTATGCTCCCGTGGTGATCAGAGAGCTTGGCTTTCAGTGGTTCCAAGAATGTCCTGAGTGTCAGCCGAGACATAGTCCGTGGTACATTCCATTGCATTTTGAAGGATGGTGATGGATTTCAGCTTCTACAGAGACTAGATTTAGAAAAATTATTGTATTACATATAGCTTTTCACTTTAAGTCAAACTATTTAAAAATTAACCGTAATTCATTAGAAATAATAGGACAGACAAACTGGCACCTAATCTGCAGGAAATGTGGTTAAGTTACATAGTTTTCAGGCACTGGGATTTTAACATAAAACACATTCTTCAAACACAAGAAGTCTGCTTAGCAGGCATCACAAACGGTAACACTAAGAAACCCTTCCACCACTGAAAACGGGAGGTTTGCAAGGACTCTTCTGTTGTACAGATCCGAGTACAGATGTTTGGGGACATAATTCCATGCACTTTGTTCTCAGACTCTGCCTAAGCCAACAAGTAAAATAATAACTACTTTAACAAGGTTCTTACAGAATTGTGCTATTTCTGGTGGAAAGCTACTCTGTAAATACAATAAATTCACAAGTGTTAAGGTTTGGATATTTATGATTAGTACCATCTATTCTATAAAAGCCTTTAAACAAGTAATAATAAAGTTCTAAATCACATACGTTATTGATGATGTTAAGAAACAGCCTGGTATTTTATCTTCTTTCCCCCTATATCAAGAAAAGAGAAAGAGAAGAAAAGATTTCTCATGATTTGACTTGGCATTAGTGTTGATACAGACTGACAAGGTACTTAGGAGAAAGGAGGATTGCAAGATGGGGGTCAGACTGGGCTACAAAGAGTAATTCTGTCTAAAGAATTCAAGGGGCCGGAGAAATGGCTCAGCAGTTAAGATTACTTGCTATTTTTCCAGAGGACCTGAATTCAGTCGCCAGCACCCACACCAAGCAGCTTACAGCCCTCTGTAATTCCTGCTCCAGGGGATTGATTCAACACCCTCTTCTGACCACAATACAATCATGACAAGATATTAACCCCCTTACCTCCACTGAAAGGTAAGATATCATTTTAAAAGAATGTGGACTTCAGAAAAAGACAAGGTTTAAACTTAATCAAGAATATTTTGGGGCAAATTATTTAGTCTCTTTAAATGCATGTTTTTCAGTAGCAGATGGAATTATAAGAACTACTAATGTATAGTTATTGTTCCATCCCAGCATTTTTAAAAAAGACTTATTTATACTTCAGTGTGTATACGTGTGTCAGATTACCCTCGAGCTGAACTACAGGCAGTTTTCAGTCATTTAACATGTGTGCTGAAAATCTGTCTTCTGGAAGAGTTGCCACTGCTGTTAATGACTGAATCATCTCTTCACCATTTTCCACTCACGTATTCCAGGGCTGCCTGGAGGTCCTTTAAATACATAGTAGCCTAAGTGGTATATCTTAGCACATAATAGTATATTTACTGCCCATTCTTTCCTTCCTTCCCATTACTTCCTATCCCTTCCCTTGGGCATCCCCAGAATGTCCTGTTCTCTCTTTGTAGGAATTATAGGTAGAAATGTATGCTCACAGTAACTGTTCTAATTAACAGGTGTTCTGTCCTCTGTATTCACGCTCTGTTAGTACTTCTCTCTGGCACTGGAGTCAGTTATTTCTGAATCATCTTTCTGAAGCAATTGTGTGTGTGTGTGTGTGAGGTTTCTTGTAATCCTTTTCAAGAATGGCATGGGTCAGCACGTGTGTATCTTTCCGTACTACCCTGCTCCTCAGCCTTGGTGTCACTGATCATGAGTTGCTCCCGCCGGACCGGCGCGCAAGGAGCACATTCCTTTTTTTTTAAATTTATTTATTATGCATACAATATTCTGTCTGTGTGCATGTCTGCAGGCCAGAAGAGGGCACCAGACCTCTTTACAGATGGTTGCACATTCCTTAGCCCGCCAGATGAAAGCCAAGAAGCCACGGCCGGACCTGGATGAGATTCACTGCGAGCTGCGGCAGCAGGGCCTCCCGCGGGCCAAGCCGGAGCTGGACGCCGAGCCCGACCTGGATCTGCCAGGGGGCGGCCTGCATCGCTGTGTGGCCTGCGCGAGGTACTTCATCGATTCTGCCAACCTGAAGACCCATTTCCGATCCAAAGACCACAAGAAGAGGCTGAAGCAGCTGAGCATCGAACCCTAAAGTCAGGAAGAGGCTGAGAGGGCAGCGGGCATGGGCTCCTATGTGCCCCCCCAGCGCCTGGGCGTGCCCACAGAAGTGTCCACTGAGATCCCTGAGATGGACACATCCACCTGAGGGGCCTTGGGATGCAGGGCAGAGAAACTCCATGGACAGTGAGTGGTTCAGCGGCTTGACTAAGGGTTTGGGGGAGATGATCTCTTCTGGATGTTCTACCCAAAATAAAGAACCAGGACAAGAAAAAAAAAAAAAAAAAGAATGGCATGGGAAAAGTCTTTGCCAGTTATTTCATGGTAATTTTTAGGTTCATTTGTTGAACCACAGGGCTAAGTCACTTGTCACTGCTCATGAGTCTCTGAGTATGTAAATTTTGTTTGTTTCTAATTATGGAGTCTGGCTAGCACTGACTGCTGCAATTTCTGCATAATGTAAGACAGTGAAGTGTCTTGTTCAATGTCCTGGGACCGTACTCTTCTGGAGTCTGAGGGCTATAACTCTCCATTTTTTCTTGAGCTTTGATGGCTAGTTGGGGTATTATCTGACCAGGCAGGGCTCCATTTCTGATGTTAAAATGGTATGCTCTGCCCTTGGAATGAGTTCTGGCAAGTCTACCTACATTTTGTGTATCCCTTCTGTGAGGAGCCCTGACTTGAAGCCAAGATCCCTGCTTTGTAGGCACTATTTAGAGCAACAAGTTTCTGGCCAATTTGAACACTTGCCAACTCTTTTGGATTAAACTTTGTCCAGTAGAGCAATGGCACTATATACCTGATTATATTAGGCCTCTTGCGAGTGTGACAGTCTGCATCCTTCAATGCCTCATAAGTAAACTAAACACTTTTTTTCAAAAAGCATATTGATTATTTGGTGCTGTGAAAATTTAATTTTCCAGAATCTTACTGGGATAAAACTCTGTTGTGTATGATTGTTTCTTGATCCAAAAGAGCCATGTGCTATAATGACTTATAACCTTAATTGTGCACTAGGAGGTATGTATTAAGTTTTATAAGGCATAAAAATAATCTTTTAATGTCTTTTGAGATTGTTGTTCTTCTCTCTAATAAAATTCTGTGACTTTCTGTGATTTTAGGATGATGCTTACATAGGGTTAGTGTTGCTTCCAGTAACCAAATAGAACTTGGCAACCTCTGTGCATCTTCTTTAGGTGTAAGCACCCCTACTGCACTAATTTTGTTTTCTCTTGTTTTTGATTATATGCCTGCTATTTGATGACAGCTGAAGTCCTAAAAAAAAATTTTAAGTGGTGTGTGGTCTTAGTTTTTCTTATTAATTCCTCCTCCCCCATCACCTAGCCACTTTCATGATCAACACAGAACACCCTGTGACTAAATAGTTTCCCCCTTTTTCTTCTTCTTCTTCTTTTTATAAAATCACACAATTCCTCAGAGTGTCGACAACAACTGGATATTTTATCTTACAAGGTGATTTGGACAGTATATTCCAATTAAAGTTAGATCTCATTGTACAAGTTTAACATCACTCTGACACTAAAACCAGACAATGATACAACTAGTACCACTGGTGAACAGACAACACTAAACTCCCCCCGCCCTGCCCAAATATTGGCAAATCAATTCTAATTACACAACCAAAAGTTCATACAGCATGCTAGGTGAGATTTTCTACTGGGGTGAATAATGGTTCAACATAAGAACATTAAAAGATCTAACAACACATCAGCTTAATGAAAATTGTAATTGTATTTATAGGTGTAGAGAAAGCATGTATGTAGTAACTATCCAAACAGATCAGGGATGGACGAATACTCTACACAACTTTTACATGTGACAAACCTATAGTCAATGCCATACTAAAATGAGGAAACCTGAAAGTGTTTCTTTTCACATCTGAACACAAGTATATCTACTTTTGCAATACATAACTTTAGCCAAAGCAATGATGAAATATGTATATGAAGAGAAAAAATTATCTTTGTTTGCAAATGATACAATCCATAAAAATGCCTAGACTCTACCAAAAGACTCACAGGATTGGGAAATATAACAAGCTGCAAGATACAAAAACCATATAGTTTATCATTTTTATTTATGAATTAATAACATGCATTCTTTGGGAATTACACCTAACTGTGATGCAGACCCAGCTTTCCTCCTTCCAGTGGATTTCCCCCTCTAACCCACTCGCATTCCATTGTGTCAGCCTTTGACCCCAAGACACACTATCCACCTGGGACCCTGCAGCCATACCAGGCTGGGACTAAGGTGACAATTCATACTATCCTTCTTGTCCTCCATTATGATCTCTTCATTCTTACCCGCAGCTCTCCTCCCACCCCAATTCCATTCACTGAAGGCTCTGGATACAAGTGCAGGGTCCCATCCTCTGCCCCTATCCATTCATCTCTCCAGATTATTCTCTGTCTTACTGTAACTTCCATACACTGCATCTCTGACTTCCTGGGGAGTTCACCAGGACCCCTTAGCTCTTTCCCTTGGCTTCTCTCAGCCTTCCGCTTATTCCTTCCATCTCTTATTTCTCTTTGCCACCAACCAACTACAAAAACATTCTCTGGAGGCAACTCACAGCCACACACTTTCTGAGATCCATAGTGAGCAGCAGAAACCAAGGACCAAAACACCCAGCCTACAAAAATCAAATGTCCACAGCTAGAATCACCCCAGTCGTCAGACCTCCAGGTACCTAGAAACCAGCACAAAAAGACAATCTGCTTCCATCAGAATCCATAACCTAGAACAAGGCCCTCATAAACATAGTAGAGCTGAGGCACAAGACAAGGGCTTCAAAATAGCAATTATGAATATGCTCAAGGACATTAAAGAGGAAATAAATAAATTCCACAATAAAGTCTATGAAAACAGAAACAAACAGAGGAATGAAAATAATGAGAACAATTCAGGGCATAAAAGTAGTATTTAACAAAGAAATAGAATCACTAAAGAAAATCCAAACTGAGATAAAACTGGAAATGGAAGCCCTCAGAGACAAGTCCACCAGTAGAAACAGAGAATGACGGGTGCTGAAGACATGGAAGAAGACATGCGCACACCAGTCAAGGAAATGTCAAATCTAAATCCCCATGCACAAAACACGAAGGAAACCTAGGTCACTATGAAAAGATCAGATCTACAAATTATAGGACTAGAGGAAGAAGAAACAAAAGTTAAATGCACAGAAAATATTTTCAACAAAACCATGAAGAAAAACTTCTCCAACCTAAACGAGATATCTATCAAGGTATAAGAAGCATATAGAACATCATATAGGCAAGACCAGAAAAGAAATTGCCTACAGCACATTATTAAAAAAATAAATGTACAGAACAAAGAAAGAATTTTAAAAGCTGAAAAGGAAAAAGACCAAGTAACACATAAAGGTAGTTCCATTAGAACAGCAGTTTTCAACCTGTGGGTCATGACCCTTTGACAGGCGTCACCTAAGACCACAGGAAAACACAGATATTTACATTATGATTTATGACAGCAGCAAAAAATTGCAGTTTTGAAGTAGTGGGGGGGCACCAGAG